CTTTCTCATCCAGATTTCCTCACACTCACATCTGCAAACAGCGTACCTTCGAGCTAGACGCTGACTTCTCCATATATTTACTTCTTCTGGTAACTTACCAAAAATAGCCCTGCTGTCTGGTTGAGTAGTACACCACAGAAAACTACTCCAAAAATTTGAAGTCGTTGCCTAACATTGTCGAACAATCGTCAAGGAGCCAACTGGAATATACTTGCTCTCCAGGTTAATGTTAAATAGGTTTTTTTTGACCTACTAGAATGACGGTGTCAGATGATAGCAGTGTTAATCGCGAAAAGACATGTCCACTATTGCTAAGAATGTTTTGCAGCACAAAGAAACATAATAACGTCATGGAGTATTCTAGAGGTCGTACCCCAATAAATGAACTACAAGTATATACGTGGTGAGTGTTTTCCAGTAAAATAGCCTGGTGATGGGATATTGTTTGGTTACTCGTCGTTATACACTGATAAGGTTTTACATTATTTTATAGTTTCAACTGACGTAAACTTTTTGGTTATTTCCTCTTGTTTACGATGACAAAATTTTAAGACCACTTCTCAGGTCCCTTTACTTGACATGCTCTGCCAAGTTTTACATGTCACACGGTTCGATGACTACATATTTGTACTTTGCTTTAATAAGTACGACATATGTTGTAACGTCTTCATCAAATTAGGACCATAGTTAAATATACCAAAAACGGCTTCTCATGGTCGAATAATAACCAACAACACAATCCTACGCGTGTATTTTATCTTATGGGGTGGATATGACTACAAACAATATATCCGTTACTCACTTAAATGTTATTCTCAGTCTATCAAGCTTGTTTCGAAAGTGTATCCAGACCTGATAATAAGTTTGTACTGTTGAAAGCCTTACGTCCCTAAAACTGAATATTCTGAAAACGATAGGGGCGCAATATGTTAAATATTGGTCACCGATAACTTCCATCCGCTTATGGGAAACCTTCATTAATAAAGGTTCTGATTACTCATTTTAAAATTCCAGCTTCAGTTGTTTGGCAAAAGTGATAATACAGTTTCTCCTCAAGCTAAAAGTCTGACCGTGATTGTAACACTTGACCATCGACTATCTTTGGATACCTAAATCTTTCCACTTAATATGACTTAAATAGCACGATGAAGTATTATTTGACCTTGTTGACCGTTTCATTCATCCTTTCTTTATTTTATTTGAACACATAAATAATGGTACAAGAGGGCACCAAATATGTTTGCGAAACTATACGAAGGTATTGTCGGGACTCTGGTTAGGATACTCGTAATCTCATACTGCACTAAACTCAAGTCCACTCAAATACCTTTAAAAAATACTTACCGGTCGACTAACAATAACGTTCCTCTGATAGACATTTGATCGTGCCTAGTCGTAACTTTGGACAGATATTTTCTCGCCTGACATTGAAAAACTCTTCCACATAGCAGTCAGGGCATTTAATTTGTATTTTCTAAAAGTTGACCAAAGAGCACAAATGTGATTCAATTTATGTCGAAGAAATGTTCTCATTGTTGGAAAAGTAAAAGAAATAACAATCAGCGATTAGATTTCTCTGACAATCAATTGATGCACAAAGTTCTTTTCAAATAATCGTAAGAACTCAAGTTAACTAAATGTTTGCTATATGGCTGTTATCAGGATTTTCACATCCAAAGTAAAATAGGTGGGGATTTCGTTGGTATCATATAAGGCTCATAGGAAAAAGCAGTAATAAGCAATGTTATTGGTCTTTGTATCTGCAGCACATTGTTGAGATGTTTGGCTGAATATTCCACTAAATAGTTGTATTGACCTGCAATAAAACTCCAGTTTATTATCCATCAGGAATTTAGATCCATTAATAATACCAGTCTTCTGATTATTTCGAAAGCCGAGAATTTGATAAACGGTAAGACTTCTGGTTCCAGAAGTCAGTAAGGATAAAAGTCAAATAGGCACTCAAATGCACTAACTAGATTACGCAAGTTGGAACTTTTCTGTGATATTGAAGTTTGCAACTAAAAACAATGCGCCCTTGGTAAGGTTCTAAGCCGATATATCTATTTAATCTGAGTTCTCTTACTTCTGTCTAATTTTAAAGGTTTGATGCTACTTTAAGAGAACTTGCATCTCTTGTTAAACAAGTTAATCCAGAATCCCGTAGAAGAGGAACGTTGTTTGATTTCGCCTTGGTTTTCCCGGACCATCGATCACCGATGTACAGAATGCGGGAATTGGGTACAGTTTGCTCTGGTTCTCCTTCCGATACAGATCGTATCATGTTAAAAGTATGGGTTGGTTTAATTTTGTGGTAAAATAATAAATAGGTCAGGTTGTCTAGAGTTTCCTCGTTATCGAGAAAGTATAATCGGTTATTGGCAATATAAATGTACCCAACACTATGGAAATATTCAGATCCACATTATATAAACGCATGTCTTATTTCTTACACTTTGTAACTGACAACACTACCCCTATTTATGGTGGTATAACTTGAGCACATTTTAGCAATCTTGTTGACTTTTTTACTTTTGAAGTTGAACTTTTCTGTTGTACAGTATTGTTTTAATTATTATTTATTCATACTGTAGTTAGCCTCTAAATCATAGAACTGATTTCCATTTGCAATCCCTTCATTTTGGTTTTCGGTAAAATAATTATGCTTTTCTGTGACCCTCTGATCACTTAATTCTTGAATTCAACTCAGTTGCACCAGACTAATCTCAATACATTTGAAATAGTATTGATAATTGACTAGATTTCTTAGCTCTATTTTTCAATGGAATAGAAGTTAAAAAAGGTGTACGCATTTGATTAGGATACTGGGATGATGATCAGAGTTATAAAACAATTAGACTTTGTATACAGATAATTCCTTTTATTATAATAAAAACAGCTCTCTTTAACAACTAGACCTATTCTACGAAGCTAACTCGATCGACTTAGTGAATGTAACGTTTTCATTAGTCCTTTATCTATAACTTAAACGAAGGTTCAGTAAAGAACTGACTATAGTTGTTTATCCCTCATTCCAGTTATAGTGGTTAACAGAAATAGTAGGTTAGATCAAGATATAATGTCGAGGATGGACTCAATTGCCTACAAAGAATTATGTATTGGTCGTACCACTATGCTTTGTTTTTCTACAGTACACTGAGAAGACTATTAAAGATGGAAATTAAATACTTGAATTCGAGTACTTGCAAAGGGACTATGGATTTCGTGGGAAGCTATGACTTTAGCGCTTGAAATATCTTAGCGGTGCCTATTGATACTATCCCCTTACTTTAATCCAAGCTGTCATCAGAAGCCGATTTGTTTAGACACCAAGTGATGACTTAATTGTTGGGGGAAGTTAACTGTCGATAATTCGATCATATTGTCTCTAATACCATTCCGCCTATTTTCAGTTGTTTTAACATGAAAAGCTGCAAATACATATTCCTTCTACTAGGTAAATAAATTTAAATGTGGTGTTTTTATCTTATCCTTTATCTTTACAAAAATTGCAATATCCACACTTTTTTAATAACTTCAACTAATAGGATGTACAATTTACAATTGGAGATATGATTGATGTTGCTATCACACCACCTTCAACTGATACGAATATTCCATTTATTAAAAACGATTCATTAATACTAGACTCTAGTCGTCCTAATCCTATCATTCGTAATCGACGCTCACGTGAAAAATATCATGAACATCCCTCTAACAACAATAATGATAACAATCCTGATTTAAAGTCTTCTAAATATCGTCGACATGTAAACAATGTTAATTTAACTTCTCAAGATAGAGCAGAGAAATCTGAATCTGGTAAGGAGTCAAGAATTGACAAGTCGACTGATGGACGTTATAGCTATAGAACAACTGCTCGTCGAGTTGTACCGTATTAATAAACATAATAATAAATTGTGCATGTGTTAAATAACTTTTGTACATTATATATAGCAAACCTTCATTGTATATTCGTTAAATAAATTATATATACACTATCCTGGACTTGATTTATTAAATGTTAACATTTCCGCACTAGTCCTATGGAGTGTAAGTTACACTGAGATGTTGGTATTATGTTAAGCCCACATAGGTTATCCTAGCCTCAATTCATTCATTCTTCTCAAGCCACATTTTTACCCTGTCAATCATCCGCTTATCAACCTTGACTTTTTATGTAGGCGTATGTGTGCATTTCTTATTTTACTTATCACATGTCTGTGACTTATTTTTGTCTCACTACAAGTATCAATTCGCACTTGGTTAAATCGAGTTGGTTTACATGCCTTCTCCACTGCGCGTCGTTTCGCTTCACTCTCTTCTCTTCGTTTTTCCGATCGTGTGACTGGATCAATGATTGTATGAAATACACACATATTTAACTTATTTGATTCTGTTACTCATTAACGCGATAACCATATACGATGGCAACTAGGGTGATATATTTTGACAGCAATCATCTGTCCGATCTAACTGGACTCAGATATAGGGCCAATAAAATGAACACCACTACATATTATGTACAAGTTAACACGTACATAGTTTGACAGAATACCTTAATGAGTAAAATGATACAAAACCCAGATTATGTTTATTCCAGTCTGATGTAGAACCCCAGGTTACCAATTTATTTAATTTCTAGAGTCACACCCAGAAATGGGCTAAAAGACGTCTATATGAACATTTCACCTGCTTTAATTAATTATAGGATCGGCAGTTTTTAATAACAGTGATATGGTATGCCTGAAACATTTTTCGTAGAAGAAAAACCGGAGTTTTGTAATTATTTAAAAAAGCCACTTGTTGTACATCTTAGTTCATACAAATATTGTAAATTCAAATATGGTTTTCATGAATATAGTGTTTGAAAGATTTCACACCAACAAACGCTTGACTTTGATCATACGTCTAATTAAGTCTACTAAAAGGCACAGATCCCTGATAACTATTACCTCTGAATTCAACAATATATTCCAGCCAACTTCTAATAAAGTTCAGGCATCCACTATTTTCCCTATACAATGAGCTACAAAAGACGACTTATATATATAATATTCAAGAAAACATGTAATGTGTATATTTGTAAAAAACAAAATTTATTTCCTAAGAAACGTAACACTCTAGATACATAAATAGCATAGTACAAACCGATGTACTGAACTTATGATTAGTAAAGAAAATATTTAACATCAGTAAGATAGTCACTGATATTGTTCAAGTCGACTTTGGTCGAAGGTTAGAAAAACACTCAACATTGAATAGACAACAAAATAAGACTGAATCAAAATACATATTAATTGCTTTCTGAACATATTTTACATCGATTATATCCCCAATACTTGTTAATTGATGAGATCAATGAGTCAAGTGGTTCGCCAATTTTGTATACAATTGTATTGTTCACATTTCCTAGTTGTTTTGCAACAACAGATTCCCATACTTTGCTTAATTTGTACAACTCAGAATTCGTATTCATCGTTTTTTCTTCTACAGTACACGATTCACCAGTATCGATAATTAAAGTTACAGATCTGTGCCTAAAATTGCTATGAAGATTATCTTTAGTAGTTCCTGCTTCAGGATTTTTAGCTATAACGATCTCTTTTGTAGTAAGATGTATAGGATTTTCACAAACATTAGATAATTCAAGCTAATAAAAAAAGACAAGAGAAAATTACGCATTTACTCTGTGTTCAATTAATAAACATCTGAAGTTTTCTATCAAAAGTAAACGACAATAGTTTAAATCTGGTATGCAACTTCTGTCAAGCGCGCGGTCTATGCAATAACGCACTCGATGATAAACACTGTATATACATAATACAGTACAGCAGTAGCATATTTCGTCAAGTTTTTTGGCTTTTATTCGTTAGTTAGCAGATTGGAAACCGGTTTTAGCCAAACTTGCAAATATAGTTTAGGAGTTTTTAAGTTACATTTCATAGGCATTAATATGTTGCCAGCGTGGAGAAACAAGCACTGTATGGAACAGTTTAATGTCTGCCATTACCCTAAAAATTATTAATTAGATAACGGCATTAAATAATTTTAGACAAATAGATTATGGTAGCTCAAGTCTTATGAATACTAGTGTTGATAGATTTTAAAAAAGTTATGATTTGATGACTACGATATTTATTCGAAAGTATCTGCTTCACTTGCCTATGATGTCGTAAGTGGGACATTTTAGCTTTATGAAAAATATACTGTAAAACAATATCATGTTTTATAAGCAAAGATGGATAGTGGCTAGCAATGGAATCCAGGACGCGCGTTTCGTCTTGTTTGGGACTCGTCAGCTGGATGTACCTGCATCTCAGAGTTGATGTTCACTCTGGGACTCGAACTCAGTACCGTTCGCTTCAAACGCCATCGCGTTATCCACTTAGCTACTGAGTCCTGATAGCCACTTGCTTGTGCAATGGGTTGAAGTTGAATTCACTTGATATTGTTTTACTTGAATTTTCCCATTGATGTTTTTTCGGACTGAAATTGATCAGTCTCTTATTGGCATATGTGCATACTGTGCGTATGCCTCGATATTGCCTAAGTTTACAAGCATTATAAGCAAAGATGGATAATGGCTAGCAGTGGAATCCAGGACGCGCGTTTCGTCTTGTTTGGGACTCGTCAGCTGGATGTACCTGCATCTCAGAGTTGATGTTCACTCTGGGACTCGAACTCAGTACCGTTCGCTTCAAACGCCATCGCGTTATCCACTTAGCTAGCCACTATCCATCTTTGCTTATAATGCTTGTAAATTTAGGCAATATCGAGGCATACGCACAGTATGCACATATGCCAATAAGAGACTGATCAATTTCAGTCCAAAAAAACATCAATGGGAAAATTCAAGTAAAACAATATCAAGTGAATATCATGTTTTGTTGACAAATGCTCCGATACGGCCGAGGGTGGGGAGAGTCCTCTTAATCTGGCATCCTCCCTCTGCATCTCAAGCCTGGACTCAAGTTGATCACATCGCGGTCAGTTACCACTGGCGTAGTTGTGTATAAGACTACTGCTCCTTCCGGGGTACCTATCTGGACTTTGATCAAACCCTTGTTTGCGCTAATCTTACCTTGATTTTCAGTGGCCAACAAATTCATCGTCCTAAACGGATCAATGTCAGTAGATGAGCATTGGTTGCAAATGCACGACGCCATGAAAAGGGCAAGCAAAGTCGCTTGCGGCTTCGCGAAACGTCCCGCTTATAAACATTGGGTTTTTTCCGGCTCCTTACAACTTATTGAAGCCCGTTGGTCTACTCAGGGTGACCGTGAGTTGGACCACAAACGAAGATTGCTACGTAATGGAATTGTGAAAAGTTTGTGGAAGGGCCGAGAAGTCTGGTGGTCGAAGCGTGTCAATGAGTAAGAAGTAGCAGCTGCATCTGGTAACTGCCGAAAGCTCTCTCAACTCATCCGAGACACTGGCAGCAAGAAGTCTGGTGTGAGCGAAACAATCTGTGATGGTGGGATGCCAATCTTTAGCATCTACCGATGTTTTGGACGATGGGCGGAGTTTTTCAAGGGGCAATTCAACTGGTCTGCTGCCACCGGTAACATCTCTTCACATTTCCATTGCTATTGTGTGGCGTATATGTATTTGGTACCCCTTTGTAACAATATCTGTGTTTGAATAGTGACAAAAATAAGCATTATTAACTACAAAACATGATAGAGAAAATTCGAAGTCACACTAATAATTTACGAAGCAAAATAACTATCAACAAATACCTCCTGAAATAAGCTAGAATGGTCTGGTTCTACTTGAATAAATCTAGAAGATTTTGAACTTAATTTTCCCGTTGATAAATATTCAGCCCAATTCTCAATCACACCAAATGATTCTGGAGCAAGGTTACTACGGCCAATATGTTGCAAACCACTCTCGTTTATGATTAGAGTACTCCAAGCTAGAACAAATTCAAAGGCAATATCTCGTGAACCAGGAGACCAACAAAACATATCAATACTGTTGACGTATGAACTCAATCCAATATAAAATTTTAAACGAGTTGATTTATAGTCTGGTTTTTTCTTATGATTACACGAACGACAAATATTAATGATTTCAGTCAAGCAGTTTCTTTGGTTATTAGCATAGAGGTCTTCGAAGCGGATTAACGCTCGAAGAATAAGAGTAAATGGTGTTAAGGTCTCCGACTTTTCGCCTTGTACGAACTTTTAAAAGACAAAAAATACAAGATTTTTAAATATATATACAATCTGTTTAAAGCAAATTGATGAGAGGTAGTAGTAATGACACAAAACAAGCTAGATTACAGAATAAATATAACTATCAGAATGTTCTACATCAATAAACAGTCAACAAGCGAGTAAAAACTTCTGCAAAGAAAATAAAAATAGATGGAGTAACTTAAAATTCAGCAATACAATTATTTTGCATCTTGTGCAAGATTTCTATATGATTTCAGATATATTAAATCTTAAGTGGGCACATGGATGTGGATTGTGATACTGATAGGCTTTATGTAGTACATCTTTCCCAATAAAATCTACCATGAGATAGTTTTTATACTTTATTAATACTTGCCATGTTGTCGATTTCATTTTGATTACTCAAAAATGTACGTCGATACATTTATTCAAGTAATAAATAAGGTATAATAAACCATTGTTATGTGATACACAAATGGTCGGCAATAATTGGACAACAGGTAAGGCAAAGAAAGACTAAAACGGCTATTGAGCCCCGGTAGTTGTGCCGTTTTTCATGGAGTTTCTCCACCAAAGCCAAAATTGTTCACCAACTTAAATGACTGAAACTGGCAACTAATAATGAATCACTAAACTTTATCGTATGCAGAAACACAACGCAAGGACTTTCCGAATTCATTAAGTAACAAACATCGAGGGTAGTTCATAGGGTGAGCATGAATCAATGACTGGCCAATATAAGCTCGAAATTATAATAAAAAAACAGTACAGAAGAGACCAGAAAGTCATAACCGGCTTCGCATGAGTTTGATATTAGAAGGAAAAACAAAGCTGAATAAAGTACTATTTAGAAGCCATTTCCCAATACCAAAGGATAACGAGGGGTTTGAAAACCGATCTCATCTTACTGTCACTGATTTAATATCACGATCAATTTTCGGAGAACTCATCCCACTACAATGTTCCATATTTAATACATATGACTATACATTATATAGACTTCCACTAAGCATTCAATCGCACCTGTAACAGCATTTCTATTTCTCACCCTACCCATATTTATTCTAATTGTTAATCTCACAATTTCACTCAACATGTAAGCTGATTCAATTTGACATTGAATTTTATTCATTTTTACCTAAACAACCTCGTGTTGTATCACAAAAACTTGTAGATTCACACGTAATAATTCAAAACTGTGTATTTGTAACCACTTTCTGGATGATTAGTATAGATTTAAAACCGTAGAACCTAAAGAGGATTTACTGGAAAAAAGGAATGATAAAAACACATGAACTAAGTGTATATCACTAATTAAATAGAAGATATTCCGTGTATATTGCTGTACTCCCTCGAATCCTAGGACTATTTTTCATCATGTGTTGCACATCACCAAGACGCTTTTTTATTTCTATACATTAATTTACCATTCTCAAGCCTAGCCTGAACATACACAGTTGTTCCCATAAATGTCGTAACACTAAGGTGGAGTGGTAATAATTTTCGATATTTAGATCATGTGGCTACCAAAAACTCGACCCAGCGTTTTGCTGGCTGAAGGAAGATACGAGTTAAGGTTTCGACATGAGGGAATACAACCCAATTTTATAGTCTTAACGTAACCATATTTCCTACCAACAACTTACGTTCGCTAGCTAAATGCACATTTAAGTAGCTAAAGTATACACCCATAAACCTCCAAGCAGAGTTGGACAATCAGATTGACCCATCAAAATACTCAGGAAACAAGCGTTGGACCACTGGAATTTACCAACAAACGACTTACCAATAAGTCGTCCCACCAATACTGTCCGTCTCCAGCTGCACTGGATGTCATCTTACCCATTTTGTTAAAAGTATAGTTGATGGAGTCGTTGGAGCCAACTTTTTGCTTAGAGATACTTTCGACTAAAGTATTGATGGCAGACACTAGTCTTCCAGGTTTAGCAGTGAACAATTTGCTAGGCAACACATTAATTGGGATTTCTTCATGAAAACATGACCCACATTCACATACACTAGGGGTTGGATTTGAGTGACTTCGCAGCAACAGTGTTGGAGAGATAATAGTGTTTTCGGTGGCATATGTGAGGGATTTCGTGGCTTTCATCTGCAAAAATAGATATTTCAGACATATACACTAATGAACGGTAACATCCAGACTTTGGTAGCGTTGCGTCTAGGTACCTTTTGTGTTGGGAGGGTGACGAGCAGTGTGCGCAATATCTGGGAAACGGAATGAGAAAAAGAGTGAGTTGGATACTTAACAAGATGTAACGTACAAATATTTAACAATGAAGGCAACAGAAACCAAAAACCAAGATACAAGCGTAAAATTAAGACGCCTAGGCAACTAAAACTACTTACCAGCTGAGATCTTGAAATCAAAATGTACACAAATTCACAAGCACAACTTGTTTATACATATTCAATATCCAATAGTTTTCGGATAACATTATATATGTAAACTGATTTATTTGTAGTCACTTCTTGATGTTGCGATTCTTTTCCAAGCCTACAGTTTTGTTTAAAAAGGAGAGTCCAGCCACTCAGCTACCTTAGTTCCAGTGGATTTAGTGGCCAGAAATCAAACACTGAATACATTGCATTATGATTATTATTGAGATATACATCCCAGTTGCCATCGTATATATAATCATCGACTTAAATCGCGTTAATGAGTAACAGAATCAAATAAGTTAAATATGTGTGTATTTCATACAATCATTGATCCAGTCACACGATCGGAAAAACGAAGAGAAGAGAGTGAAGCGAAACGACGCGCAGTGGAGAAGGCATGTAAACCAACTCGATTTAACCAAGTGCGAATTGATACTTGTAGTGAGACAAAAATAAGTCACAGACATGTGATAAGTAAAATAAGAAATGCACACATACGCCTACATAAAAAGTCAAGGTTGATAAGCGGATGATTGACAGGGTAAAAATGTGGCTTGAGAAGAATGAATGAATTGAGGCTAGAATAACCTATGTGAATTTGATGTATCGACAGCCTCGCAAACTCCCCTGTTGAAAATAACACCGTAATTTTTAAAAATATCGTTTCGAAAATAACCTTAAAGAGGTGTGTGATGAACGTCAATTACATGTATCGAAAAAAGTTTGTTCTTTATCCGATAGGTTTCATTGTCATGTGAGGGGTGTGTGCATCATACGTTTATGTCATACTTATGTGAATATTGCATATGAATATTGTAAAGACCCGGTATGATGATTAGAATTATTTGAATTATAGTATGAACTAAGAACCACAGAAATAATGTAAGCGGATCAAGAAGTACTAGATGAGCACGAACGAATGTACTGTATTTGGAATTCGAAATCAAGAATTCAACAAGTACAAAGGAATCATTAGTTCATTCAAACAACACATCCGCCACAGCCTCAATTGGAGTCTAAGTGTCTGTAATCAATTGTACGTCTTCTCAAGTTCACCCTGTGTCTGTCGGACAGTGTATTGGATAAGGACTCTGTAATACCTAGAACGTGTTCATTAGCATTACAATTAACAACCAAAATTAAAACTGACTCACCTGATTTCTGAAATTGTATTTGATCAACATGTGGACTGTGTGTACTTAAGTCATTGATATCTAGAATTCGCACCACCAATTTTCCGACATTCTTCAGAACAATACCCGTAGATCGTCGAAGATCATTTCCTCGATAGTATGTAACTTCTGCAAACTCCAAACCTCTCATATTCGACCGAAGAATTCTTCCTTTCGATAGCTTCGCTGGAGTCTCCTTCGTCACTGAATGTCTGGCATATCTATATTGCAATAGGAAGGTATCTACTCTCCTCTCCAGCTCATTAAATGTTGAGGCGGCAATAGAATCAATAGCAGTCTTTGATGTCCTGACAAAATTTTCTGCCTGACCATTAGAACAAGGGTGTCTAGGAGCAGTAAACAGATGTTTGCACCCTATACTACTCAACTAGGGAGTGACTGCATCTGCAGCAAAATTAGAGCCATTATCGGTCATTAACACCATGGGAACCCCTTCTCGACTAAACACATCTCTTAATGCTTGGATTGTGAAATCAGAATTCGGTGAAGTTGTGAAAAAAACTTCAGGCCACTTTGAAAAATAATCAATAACTACTAGTGTATAGTATTTGCCAAGAAACGAACCACAATAGTCAGCACGAATCCTCTGCCAGGCCTCAGACGATATTGGCCATGGAGTCCACTTCAAAGGTCTTCAGTGACAGATTTACGCAATGATGGAGGAATAACAGTACGATCATTCAAACACAAAATACTATTAGAAGTAGTCGATAGTTCAACCCGCTTTGAAAAATAGACAGGGAATCTACGTTTCAGATTAGCATTCCAGCCTTTCTGTATAGCGGTGAGTATATTTCCTAGGTATCTATGAGATTCTGTAATGAGATCTGGACGTCTCACTGGTAAAGGTTGCACTAACAAACAGTCCGAAGTATTAACAGGTCTATCTTGTAATGATCGTCGAATAAATATTTATGAAGTCTTTCGATGGCTCAAACACCGCACCCGCACAAAATGAAGGTATTAGAAGGTGATAATGAGCAATTTAATAAGTGTAGAAAAAACTGACATGAATTTTCCATGACTGTCTAGACGATAAAACAACATGATCGTATAATTGAACCGGAAAGTCGTGAAAACAGAGTAATAAGTCGTTTATGTGTAAGAAGGTGGGATAAATCGTGAAAAGAAGTGGGATAGGATAAAACAGAAATTGGCCTGTGACGCTGACCGAATATATGGATAAAGAATAGGGAAGTGCAAATATATCCTAATGAGCCGCAGTAGAATAAATATTGTCGATTAGCAACTAATGGATTTGATATTACATAGATTGAGTTTCTTTTGGAAGGATAAAACCATTTAAGTCATGAAATGGCAACTACACCGATGAATGACATCGACTGCTGTACTACAACATAATAATCAAAAAATGTGAAGTCAGTGTGCGTTGTCGTTCGCGGTATAGTCAGGTGCATCGAGTTATCGCGAATATGTATCAGTAGAATGACCAGAGAAACAGAATAGTGACTATGGAGACGAGATATGAGTAGTCGTATTCCTTATTGTTTGTGAAGACTTGTTTGGTTTGAGGGGGATGAGCTCGACCTCATTTGTTACGAAATCGTGCAATGGCATGATAAAAAAATACCAGTACATATGGTTTATAGAATCACGGTCTCCATTGTCAATACTGCTGCTGCAGAATTATGGTCTGCTTCGATATTAGTATGCCCCCACGTTAAGTGTTGAATATCTGTTTTCCCAGTTATCTCGTGTTCAGCATTGAGGTTTGTGTCGTTAGATCCCATTGTCACTACACTACTCTCCCACCAGAACCAACGTGACGTTGGTTCGATACCAAATTGAGTGGGATTGTCAGGTGCCGGAGTTTACCAAGAATAATACAAACCCAGTAGGTACTGATCAGCTGAAAAATAAATCAAAAAGAAGGCGGCAGCACCTGATGGGTAAATACATGAAATAAATTTAAATTGTCTGTTTTAAAGATGGACTTATAGGTATTAAAAGTAGTTTGCGTTTAGAAATATTAAAAACGATCAATATTATAGAAATTTTAATACTGGTATTATTTTCGGCTTAAATTATTAAGTCGAAAAACGTTTATGCCGGTAATCTGTCCATATGAGTTGATTTCCAATCGCATCTGCAAGAAAAAAGTATTATCGCAGAGAATTCCAATTATTGTTCCAGTTAGCTTGATACTGTTTATTTAGTTACGAAGAGATTTTCTTAACTTCATTTTTACTTGACCGTGGTAGAATTCAGTAGTACTACTAATACACATGAATGATTATGAAAAAAAATAAATACGTGAGTGATAATTATGTGAATTCCGGACAGATAGATAAGAATTAATCGTTAAACATGAGTGTATTCGTAAGAGACATGCTCTAGACTCAATGTTCTGCGTTGCCATAGACTATTTACTTATATTTATACCTGCCGGTTGATGGTGCATACAAATTAGTTGCAAGTGTGCAGTTTATCATAAGGCGGGATACGATTTAATTGAGATATATTGATTACAAGTTATTGAAATCAGTTAAGCCTATGTGCCACATAACTAGGTGACGTGGTGCTGCAAGATGTACTCGGTTAAATAAGTTTTCACAAGATAATTACCAGTGAGTGATGCTCATGTGATTACCAGGGAGTACATAAGCTGTAACCAAGGGGAGTACACTCCTAACTCATGTCTATTATAATGGCTTGAATCTTAGTCAGTGTTGGGGTAAATTCAACACTGATGTTTTCAGTTTGCAAGAGATTCGTTCGACTGCTTACACTGGTTATTTGCATGCGTGATTGGATCGATAAACCTCCATTAAGACTGACAAGGATTTGAGATATTTACTGAATGAGCAACTGATAGAGAAACATACTGAAAATCATCTGCAATGGGTGAAGATGCCGAGAAAACAACACCATTTGATGATAATTATAAGTTAATTTGTTGACCGATTTCGTTAAAAGTTTCATCGATTTTATCAGTCATATTACGTGATTGTTAAGTCGTGACAATGCTTTATGACGATATCCTGAAACTATTATGTTTAGCTAGTTATACTGTTGAGTGAGGATTAGCCAGTTGGAAAAATAAGTACTGTTGCTTTCAGTGATTCGAAATTATCAGAAATTCGAAGCGTTAAAGAATCCGAGCTGCCTGATTTCATCATAAATTTTAATTCAAAAATATTAGTCTGGTGTTAATTTTAGCAGTAGGTTCCGGATTTTTAATTTTAAATGTTTGTTTAGCCAACAACTACATAATAGTTTAGTTATTATACTAGTGCAGTATGCTAGTACCTAAATTTGGTGATTTTATTATCTAAAATGTTTTTTAGGCTACTGATATGACAGACCAATTTGTAAACCCAAATACGTATAGCAATAAAGACTATGATGGGTTTTTTGAAAAAATGTTAAAGGCGATTCAAATGATTTTTAAATTTAGAAGACAGAGATATAATGCAACGCATGTACGGGTCAGGTTAACATGCAGGTTATTTAGGTATATGACAATTTAAAAATAATCAACATGGTCAGAATGAAAAATATTTTTGAAGTTCAGACGACTTATGGAATTTCAGTTAGGAATATGACGAGTTGAAAAAAACTTCCATAAGAAGATCCGGCATTTAGCCCAGTGTTATTTACTATTATGTAGCAAAAGCAGTTGGAACTAAGAAAATGTCTTTAAACAACACACTTATCCTTAATAGTATGTTGTTGTATAAAAGAATTAAATGTTTCTACCAAAAAGTCTTGGGAATGGCTCGCATGAAGTATATACAACCAGTGTAACAGAAAAAATCTATGTAAGTTAAGAAGTGCTAATAATATAGTAAATTAACAAGGAAAGGGAAAACATAAAACTCGCCAGGAATATTTTCGATTCCAAGTGACGAAAATTTGAAGTAGACAGTAGTTTGAATGTGCATTATATACGAAGTACTGTTGATCAAATTCTTGGATTAACACAGCATTGTAGATTGAATTTGTTTAAGTTCACAATTAACTGAAGCCAAATACGTAGCATTTCCAGACGAACAGTCTAAACGAAATCTAAGATCGCAGGAAATTTATGGTTCAAACTCATCGTAAATTTCTAGCATTCGTATCCTCTGTTTGGCCATGGGACTCAGCAATTGGAAATTAGACAGGCAGTGATCGAATGAAAAGTTATGATAGAATAGTGTATAGTTTAGAACAGAAACGGGGGTTGAGTGAAGAAACAATATGAAGAATTAGATCCAGATAACTATGTAGTCCTTGTTTATGTTGCTAGTCAATGTATATTTACGTTATTTACAGATCATATTTGCTAGAGCTTGATTTTTAAACAAGTTTATTTCGCTGAAGCATGTAAATGCCATTAAACCTTGCTAATGAAACATCAAGGCTAATTAATATAGACGACCAGTTATTAGTATCGATTGAGTTAGTATGCTATGAGTATTAATCAATATAACATTACGATCATAAATGTGAGCATTAAACAGAGAACTATTAGAATAATGGGTTTACATAAATAAAAATCGATCGAGAAAGTTAAAGTGTAAATACGGATTAACAATTATAGGTTGCGTTTCTTTAGTCGGGCTTATCAATGTAGAATTATGGTCTGCTATGATATTAGTACTGCTCTAATAATAGACCTAATCCTAAAATTGTCGACTTGTCACTTCGTGACCGCGCACTAATTAAAAGGACAGTGGTATTTTTCCTCGCTGAGTAAATTCTATTGTTTTGATCGTTTATTACATACCAAGACTACTGTTTTGACTTTAATTGAATTTATTTCAGTTAAGGTATTCGATTAGAGTATCATTTCTGTTTCTAAATTAGTTTGTCGTCGGTACTTCTGATTACTTTGTTTTCTATTGTATCTGTTGGTACTTCTGATTCTAACAATCTACAGTTTTCCACCTCTTTTGGTCATCGATCATTTTTATCTCTGAGTTTTATTGCATCTAGTTCTTTTTTTTAAAAAGACTCCTGTTAAATGACTGGACAGGGCAAAAAAAGCAATTGACAAAGTCAAACCTGTCGTTATCCCGTTGGAAGCGGCACGCAGTGCAATGGGTACAAGGGCTAGTACCACGAAGTTTGCACGAATTTGACTCCTGCGGCTTTCAAACGGTTCAGTAAAAACGGTTGCGTATGGCTTTGTCAACAGTGCTGTTTGGATGCGAACAGCTTGCTAACCGAGGCCATCTTACTGGTAAATGCTGAGAAAAAGTGTTTTGGCAAGCGTGGTCGGGACACATCATACAGTACTCGCTCTGTCGACAAGCAACTTGGTGTGAAGTAAACTACTGAGGTGAGTTCGAGAACAGGTGACTCACACCGACCAAAGGAGGAAAAACAGTCTTCAAAGAGGTCTGTCTTAACCGAAAACTCAAGAAAACAAATTTCTTCTGTCCTCCGTCTTCTAAATGGTATCCAGCAGGAAACGCCTAAAAGCCGCAATCTCAAGGCTCGATCGGTTTCTAGCGGGAAACATAACCTGATCTCACAAAATATAACTGCCTAATCTATAAGATCTTACGTAGAAGTCACATCATCGTCTACATCAACTCACTGTTTCGTAACAATTACCAATACATAATGGAGAACATGCTTAGGCTAGAGAAAGAACAATATATTTCATATGAATAAAAAATATAAGGCAACATTCTGTAGAGACCGCGCCTGCATGGCCAAGCCATGCCATTCGACCAACTCCAATTCATTCAACTCATTGTTCCGGCCTTTTCCATCGTTAGGTATTTCTCCGCGTTAAATATTGAATATCTATTTTTCGAGTAGTCTCGTGTTCAGCTTTGAGGATTGTGTGGTTATGGTCCAATGCCACTACACATATTTCCGGTCTGAACTGCCGCAGATACACATCAAACAGTATGGCTATAAGTTCAGCAAATAAATCCGACAGTGTTTTCATAATCCTTGGAAGAATATCACCAGGTTCACTAGACTTATAAGGTTTAAGACGGTGAAGTAATTTTAAGATAGTACCTTTCTCAATAACTGCAGAATCCATCGACAAGCCGACGCAGTCACAATTAACCATTATTTCACATTGCTGATAGTAATTCCATCACTTCTCTAAGTTTGCCTCTTACTATACAAGGATAACCGTTCCGGACTAGTTTCACAATTCCTAACCAATTGTTTTTCATACGACTGATGAATCTTACTTATTGGCGCTTTACAAGAACTCCTAGTCCAACAGTAACTTGATTTATATTGTTCTAGGGCAGTAGATATGAATATATATTCCAATCCCTTTTCCTACGTCTAAGAAGCTTTTTGACTTGTTTAGTTGTCCATGTTGGACAGTCATTCGATCTACGTGGTACCAGGTATGATATAAACGAGGACGTAACTGAACTAAACCTGCCTTAAAAAACAGACTATGCTTCTTCAACTGATGAGCTACTACCTGCTGACCAATCTGTCTTAGCAGCGCAGTCATGAATGGCTGATTTCTTAGCCCTCCATACGTTTTGGGCGAGGTAAAACCTGATCGTATATCATGACACTAGCTCTAAATGTGAGTGACAAAATATCGTGATCGCTATTCACGAAAGGTTCAAGAATATTTAGAATGGCAACATCCTCAGTCGCACTCCCAGCTCTTTTTCAACTTGGGATACCTCGAGAGGGGAGTTACATAAGTTGTATTCTCAGTCTCCAAAGCGTCTCCGATGGACTAATTTGCACTTTGAAGTGTTAAAGGTAAGTCCTTTGTTGTCTGCCCAACCATGAAGTGAAGTCAGATTCTCCCGAGGTGTCAGGTCATCCTCTTGGTTTCAGACCACACGTCAAAGTTCCACATCATCAGCGGAAAGTAATTAACCTGTTTGCTATGGGACATCGTTTATGTAAATTAAGAGATGAAGAGGTCCCAGTGCTGAACCCTGAGGGACTCAACTAGGACAACCCATAGCCCGAGAGAAAGTGAAGTTAACCCTGACTTTAAAATGTCGATTTTTTATATATGAGTTCATTAACTAAAAGTGATTTAACACCTAATCATTTGAGATTACTAATAAAACCCATATGATTGAGCCTTTCAAAAGCTTTTGAAAAGTCAAGATATATGACATCCATCTCCCCCCTGCGACCAAGAATGGCTATTCGCCTGCCTACCGTTGTCGGTAGGTTGGTTACACAAGAATAGCATCTTCTGAAACCACGTTGTTGTGGTGAAAAGAAGTCTATGGATGGTAAGTTTTCGTGTAGACCGTCGCATTCCAGGTACTCCATAAGTTTTGAGGGTAATGAGAGGAGTGCTAATGGGCGGTAGTTTGAAGGTTAGCTGCGCCAAAAGTCTTAGAAAACCGGTGTTGTCAGCCAGCTTCCAGTTTTATGGTAATTTGCCTCGGCTTAACGAATGTGAGAACACCACACTAAGCGGTGTTGACAAGATTGAAGCTGTTTCACTCAATATAGTAGAATGGACCATATTCGGACCAGAAGTGCAGTTTCTGGTGCACCAAGTCGGCGCTTGGGTCCACTTCTGAGAGTCCTGTTGAGTTGCAAATGAATCTCTCTCGTATAAATGTGTACATGAAATATGAGAGTTGATTGTGTGAAATGGACGTTGCCGATAATGACTATGAATGTTTGGTGTGACTGCGTGTTTGCGATCAAATATCACAGCAGTAAAAAATTTACCGACATACAAGTGACGGAGCCTTTTTCCACTTGGGTTAACTAGAAACATGTCTGTTGAAATGTTGCATGCATCTTTATTTCAATAGTCGCTTGTCGGCTTCAAGTGTAGTTAGTAGTACAAGTAACATCAATAAGATCAAAGCTGTATTTCAACTAAGTACCTCGTCAGTATATTAAGATGCTGTATAAAATAAGGCATAAATATATATTAGCAGATAGGGGATATTAGTAATATATGAGAAGCAGATCATCCACAAGTAATCCGGATATATCCAACTTACACAATGAACCAATTGCAAATGTTATGTCGTTTTATAAGGAAGTCGTAAGATATATTTCCAGTTCGGATTTTCATTTAGTTGAAATTCAGAATGCTAATACAGAAATCATGTGTATTCTGATCAATACTCCATATAATACATACAGTGCAGTGATTTTGACGGCAAATGAGTAATGTGTACTCAAACGAAACGACCAAGAAAAGAGAGACATTCAGTACTTAGCTATTTGTAAGAGAGAACTGATTTGTATTGGAATTACGTCTGTGATGAAAGGTACTGATATGATAAATGCCTGTATAAACCTTCACCGATATGACATTATTGAAGCTTAGATCATTTAGTAAACCAATTTCATTTGTTCGTTATGGTGACAACGAAATATCCACATAATCAACATCAAACCAAGAATTCATCCACATTCATTGATTATATTGTTGTTTTCAATCTAAATTCAATTAGTCACACAGGAACTTATACCAAAAATGAGATATTAAAACATGTCATTTATGACACTGTATTAACTGTTGCCATCATTATACCTAGTATAAGTGTTTTGTACGTACAGGTACCAAATAACTATTAAATTATCACCAATGATCGTTCGTAAAGTCTAATCATACTCAGAAGCCTTTTCTAAAAATACAAATCGAATCGATCATAAATTAGTAATAAATGATTATTAGAGGGTGATTATTGGGAGTAGAAAAAATGTACATAAAATCAATGGGGGGGATGAAATATTGTCAGTGTATGTCAAGTTAGTTAAAAATGTGCATTATAAAAACTTGATCATATATGGACCTTCCAATTCATAACCCAATTTTCGATAGTAGTTTCTAGTCCCCACACCGGATATAACTGCAATCTTCAATGAACCATGTTCATATTTAGCTATACGTTCTGCTTCTTCCATTAGTAAAGTTCCAAAACCCTAAAATAGAACCAGTTGGAGGGACAGCACATTGATCAACATTGTCAAGGAAGTATAACGGAAAATTAAAGGAATAGAATCTTAAAATTGACTCATTAAGTGTTGATGGGGTTCAGCCATCTAGAGATTGTTGACCGAATGACGAATGTTTTGTTCACCAAACACAACACCATTAGAAACTAATCCTATTGACTATCCACACTTTAAATTACTAAATAAGGAAGTGGATGGAAACGAACAATGTGCATGTCCAAATTAATACAGTATATCGACTCAGTATACAGAGGTAGATATGAGCTGTATCACTACTAAAAACCAAAATAGACAAGCTCTTCAACCATTTCAGAACCTCAAAACTAGGTGAAAACAACTAAGCAACTTAATTGCATTTGTTAGTTGCAGTAGTTTAATCAGTTAACGGAGTAAATAACATACATTACATTGAATTTTCGATAAATTTACATCAAACTACTACTTATTTCAGCATATTCAAATATATCTACTAACCAGTCAAGCAAACAATGAATAACTCAGTTTATTTTGAATTAGCGGTTGTATCCATTGCGAAAAACCGCGACAATTGTCAGTAGGGCATATTTGCAACTCTTAGGAAGCTAATGCCCACTATGGGATTCAAATACAGGTGGTAAGGCTTCACTATTCCAGACGTTACAATTCATCTGTTGAGGGAGTGAATAACATCATGTAGGTCTGAGCTATTAACAACTGATTAGTCACGTAGCAGTGCTCAATGTTATGTTTGTCCTAGTCTTCAGCACTGATCGAATTCTCGTGATCAATTTATAAACCAAGGCGTTTGCAGAACTAACTATGTCTAAATGTCATAGTGAAATAAATACTTGGCAAACGAAGTACTAACACATTACAATTGACACGAGATGATTCGATCACTGGAACGCAACCTGACGGTCGCTAAACTAACTTCCCGAAATGTCGAGTGGTATAAAAAAGATTATAATTCGAACGAACCTGAAAAATCGGACAATCTTTCTATCAACCAAGATTATCTATCGTAAACTGAGCCAGAATAATAAAAGACGGGTGTGAAATGGAAACAGACAATAGACTTCAGTTTACATAGATCTCGAAATTTCGTTTAAAGAACGCAATCACACACATTCCGTCACCGCCCTACCATCCCTCAACCCAACAGGCAAACTGCGCGTTTTGTAAATACCTTCAATCGAGCTCTCATCAAGTCAAAAAAGGAGGGCACGACGTAGGAGGTCATTTAGAATTTCCTGAGAGCATACAAAATAACCCCGAATCCAGCCTAGACCAACGGTGTTTCCGTTGTTGAGTTAATGTTCGTAAGGAAGATTCGGACTTCATTTGATTGCATGTAATCACAAAGAAGAAGACGGGAGAATAGAATTGATCGTCAGTTTCCTGATGGGTTACCAGTGCACATAAAAAACTTTCGACATTGGGGACCTTCATGGATAGATGGTGTCATTGTAAGAAAAGTTGGTGGCGTCATGTGTGAGACTGATGTACGAGGTAGACACCTGAAGCAACAGGCAAACCATATCTATAACAGACGACTAAATTCAAACAAAGAACTTCTTAGCTCGAAACTGCAACTAGATTATTTATTTGATAGTTAGCTTGGAGTATGACAACTACATTACTTATGAGTAACTAGAAGTGATTTGCACAATTCTCTTCTTGTATTTCGTTGATTAATTGTTAACAAATCAGTTATCGATTGCTCAATATATTACTCGCTCACCCGACCACATTGATTGGCCAGTTTTCTATCTGTCTGCACTGGTACTGCCGTTCTTGCTGAGTTAAAAACGATGAATGTGAGTTTTAACCAGGTGGACGACTGTTTTTTTGCAGAACAATATATCCAAGGAGAAGCCATGACAGTTTGTGACTTACCGAATCCAGATGCTCAACTTCGGTGGACTTGACAAGGTATTTACGAGAAATTCCTAACTTTAGAATGCTATTATTATTGTTATTACTAGTGTTATTAATACACAGAAAAGCATTTCTATTCCGATATATAATTAAATTACACTTAAACTTACTTGATGTTGAAACTTTGTGGGATCCCTAGCAGCCACTGGAACAGCACTACCATATACATGTAATTCACGTACAATGGAACAACGAGGATCTTTATTACCTTGAACATCGTCATCATCATCACCACTATTATTACGTTTTGTAGCGATTAATTCTGGTCTAAATGTTTGCAGTGAACACTTTCTTAAACGTAATAAACCGATCAATATGTCTTGATATGGATCCTCATAGGCTAAAAATGTCTCCCAACCACCATTTGCAACATAATCTCTACGAACAAGTTCAACCTGTATTGAATGAATGGAAGTACGTTCCGAAGGAAAAGAAGCAGAAGAAGAAACATGTTGAAGAACTTGAAGATGAACAGAACGAAACAAAAAACAAACAATCCAAGGCATTCATTGGAATCATTTAACGGAACATACTCATCCAGACATAAAATACGAAACATTAGTTCAGTGAAGTGTCATGTTCGTCCAGTTGATTTTCAAAGCTATAGAACTATATATATAATCAGTTGAGTAAAACACATCACAGTATCTAGTACAAACCTAGGAGCAACATTAGTAAATCGGTCAAAATTGCTTGCATTTCGAATCAAAATATAGTTAGGAAAATAATGAAAATTGTGAGAATAAAGTTTGACAAGAATAAATAAGTCGGATCAATGATTAGTGTAAAATTGTATTAATTTTTTTACATCTAACTAAAGAATGACTGAAATTATTCTCAACGTTTCCAATCTTTAATAAAGGTATTATAAACAGTAGATCCAACTGTTATATCTGAGCGAAGGACTAAATCACGAGTAACTCCCGAGACATATTAATTGACTAATATTATCTATACATTCTTATGGTATGACTATTCAATAATTAGATTATGTATATTTATATTCCCCTTATTATAAGCTTCATTTTGACATATAATTTATTATTGTACGATTTCCTGTTCTTAAGCTACGTTCAGTTTATTGACTACTCCCTCCCACGTTTACAGTCACATTTGGTCAAATATTGTACAAATGTTATTTTCTATTTTATAGTGCGTTGTGGTCTGTCTGGTTGATATATAAACCGAGTATGTTTGAAATAAATGATTCACATATTGGGAGCTGGTATTGGTTTTCTGGACTCAAGTGGACGGCCTAGGAAGACATAGGACCAAATAAGACGCTAGGCTGCTCATACCGGTCGAACGTCGTTGGTTTTGGCACAGTGCGAAGGTTGTATAAGTCGTATTTTGATTGGTGGATAAATCACATGATAAAAATCCGGACATAAAGTCATAAAACCAACTACTTCTCCGTTCATTCAGTGAGTAAATCTCAAATATCAGTATGCAATGTTTATCAAAGATTTCATTTCAAGTTTACCTGCTAAAAGCAAGTTAGTTTAGTTTATTGAAGCATTTAACATGAAAAAAGCAAATACGATAGCAGTTGGAGCCTGAAATAGGATTTCTACTATGTAACATTCAACCAAAAAATCAATGAGAAAATGATAGGAAGTGTTGAAGATAATCCACTTATTGAACAATGAAAACATATTGGATAACCGCAGACTAAATAAAAAATAAGGAATGAATATATTTAAGTCACTGCGACTGATTGTCAACAACCTAATCTAAATTTGCCAACAGTTGATTACAATTATAACGCTAGCCTGAGGCATACATTCTGCATTTCTGTAAAAAGGCTCTGAACAATAGCTAATGACCTTACGCAATGACCCGATATATTTCAGTCTGGCTACCAAACTACTTCGAATACTGGCCACCACTAAAGGGTAGTCAGTGACTGTACATGTTTAACACGTTGCCCAGTCACTTTGTTCGGTAAATGCCCAAACGCTCATTAACCAATTCGCCCACCCTAACAAGTAAACTACACCAAACCTCACCATTACTCAATTATTTAATTACATATGATTGATTAGAGAGTTGAGGACAGGAGTGCATATAGAGATGTAATTTACATAACAAAAATGTACTAAAATAAGGTTTACCTACAAGCAAACAGAGAATGAATAAAATGACAAGGGATAATATGGTAGTTAAAATCTAAAATAATAATTTTGTAAATTATCTGGTGCCGTTTTCATTCCATTCCGGAAATTTACTATGCTGTAACTTTTTAACTTTGTGTTCTTCCATATTCAATTGGTACTTATGGTGTGTTTTGTCGGTTTCTTCCTATCACACTCTTTCCTTTCTATATTTAGCAATGGTAAGTAAATCTATTATTGTACCATGTGTAACCATAATTCATTAATTAAATGTTATTGGTTCAAACTCCTAATTACAGGTGTTAAGGCTTTGAACACCGCGCTCCAATCAAGCAGTCCTTACTTACAAAGTGTTGCATAAAATCGAGTACATAAGAACATTTGCTAGATACCATCATGAATATTATCCAGATAATAAGATACTAACTTGATCGCAACTATTATATAAGAGGGTGTTCAAACTATCTGAAAGAACTGTGTAAAAACAGTGACCAACTGAATAATAACTTCTGATATCTATGTATCATTGTATATCATCAAATCACAAGTGTTCTACACAATAGCAACGACAGAAGACTGAATTGCAATATAAAGAGCAGAAAATAGAAATAGAAATCTGGTAGAAACGTTGGTTTTATTTTTTAGAACTCACATACCTGATATGGTTTTACACGTGAATGTATTTCTTGTATGCCGACTTCACGTGTTCGAACATCACGACAACTAGCACCTAGTTCTTCCATTCGAGCTAATACAAGTTCACGTAAATTACCATGTTCCACACCACTAGTTACTAATGGCATAGGAATATCTCTAAAAGTTATTGTGAAAAAAAATAAACCGCGTTATCAGGAATACAGGATCCTAATGCAGTAAAAATCGATGCACTGAATCAAATCATATAATATCTGACCGTAACTGCTATCTTGGCGTGGTAGTCTGACTTGCACACCGTGATGAATCAGTCGAGCTAATATTGTGGCTGGAGCACTTGTTACATTCCTTCCTATCATACTAGACAGTTTAGTTGCGGAGCGACAAAATTAAAGGGAAAAAGCTCAAGTTTCGAGGGCGAAGTCGTATTGACGACTGTACAAGATTGTGACGACAGGAGTGTTCCACTCAGATAACCAAAACTGTGGAGTTGTTGCCTTTTCATAACGGAAAGAGAGGGTTAGGGAACATCAACTCTAAAAGTAGACCACCCCACTTCGATTCATGGATTCCGATCACTGGCGATTAGCAATCCTTCCGGGACAATTATAGTCCAATACACGCACTAAGCGTCCTTAATTAGGATACGCCAAGTTTCACAAACCGAGAGCAGAAGTGCTCCCGCAGATGCATTGTAAATCTAACCTTTTATGTATTGACTAAATTTATGAAGGCGCCAACGATGGCTTAGATTAGTATAAGACATATTGACATTCTCTGTAGACAGGTTGATTTCATCTGACAAGCTGAAACACCATACACAAAACTACCCAGGTATACGAACTTTTCGATTATTTCTAACAGCTCACCACAAAGAGTGAATGTCGAGACAGAATCCTGCCAGTCTTGTAAAATCGCTTTGCGTTTATAATGAACAATTCAGGAGTAAATCAACGTAAACGTTACGTTCCAGATATCTAAACTGAATCACATAGTTCGAATCATGCACAAACCTAATTTGGACAGAAGGTCGTTTCGTCCTAGTATGGAACTCCTCAGAAGTGTGTATCTATAACCACGTCGTGGATGAAACCGAAGACTTTGCAGGTCTTGTGACGAGTGCTTAACCTTTAGATCACAGAGTCGGCATCCAGTGATTTACATTTATAGCTTTAATCAACTCGAGATATTGTGAAAATATCTCACAATGTCATTGGCAAGTATCTAACAACCGAGTTGGTTGGACTCAACTAGTTTAAACTTAAATAGATTAAACCTGTTATTTAAAAATGGGTCGACATTTTATTGGTCACTTGAGTGTGAATTCCATATAAAACAGGAAAACAAAATTGTTAAATTATGCCATTACGAAGGACTTGTGAACACATTCATTTATACCTTGATGATGACTGACAGAGATTAGAAGAAAGCTGGAAAGTAAATTTTGTCCAACTTTAAACTAACCACATGCAAATGTGCACCGATCGAAAGTTGAAATCAATATTATCATAGTCATTTGTAAGGGTTTGTATTTTTTCACTATTGGCGCTAAAGACTGCAAATAATTAGTCTCTATTGATGTATGTGCATCCGAAATGGATTGTCTCAATACTGTTAGTTAATCACAAGTTTCTTGTGAAGTTGGATAAAAAGTAACAGTGAAATCGAGGGTGTACCTTTTTTCCATTTATGACTCGTCAAATGGGTTCGCTTGTATCTCAATGATACTCGAACTTAGTAGACTTCGCTTTAAATCCCGACCCCTTATCAATTGAGCTATTGAGTTCAGATAATCACCGACATGTTCAAACGGTAAGAATATTTGTAACGATCCGTATTTTCCCATAGTTAAAAATTCAGTACAATTCAATAAATGTAATAAAACTTGTAATTGTAGTCTCAGTGTGAATATCAATACTGGAACGTACGTATATTCAGATATCCGACAAGTCCTAAATAGGACGAAACGAGCATTTAGGATTTCACTACAAGCTGCTATCCAACCTTAATTAATTAAGTTATACTAGTTTTACCCATGGAACAAATAAATGAATGAAATTTCATCAATACATATATATGATCTACCTTTGAATACGATAAATTCTAGTCCATGGTGGGACTAACGCTAATATTCGAGCAATCAAATCAATCAGCATACCGGGTGGATAACTTTTATATCGACCAGTACGCCATAATTCATATAAACCTGTACCACGTATAACAAGTGTTGGATAAATTTTTAATCCATCTGAACGAAAAGCTGGATTTTCAAAATATTCAGCAAATTGTGCTAAATCACGTTCCCAGCCAACATTTGGTAAATCAGGCATCATATGTGAAACAACTTTAAATCCAGCATCTTTAGATAAATGAAATGATTCACAAACAGCTTTAACAGTATGACCTCTAGTACATAAAACAAAAAGAAAGGAATTCTACATATAGTTTTGTTGTTGTTGTTGTTGTTGATTAGGTAATAACTTCAAGGGGGGGAATTTCGTGAAAATAAATCTGAAAAACATTCTTAGAATTATAAATTGAAAGTAGTTGAAAAGTTACCGACCTAAGAGACAAATAATCATTGCCATTATCATAAGATTTAACAAACAAAACAAACAAACTTCGAAAGCCCCTTTATTCCCCACACCCGGAGCCTTTGACCCAAAGGTCTAATACACAAAGCAGTACAGCAACTTTAGGAAATGCAGCTCAATGGTAGCCGGTGACGAACAACAGGTTCATATGCCATTTGTCCCCTAAAGATCCTGGAGCCCAAGTGCACCATAGGTTTGAAATCAGGATTTTCTAACCCCTCTAGGTGGATCCTCCATATCCACCAACCCGGTTAAAGCGCTGGACATTCGCTTTTCGTCCCCCTCCCCCAACCTCGTAAGCAACACTCTCTCCGCGAAAATGCAGTAAGCTGGACTTCCCTGGTAGTGGCTACAATTAGTTTAACTCACTACATAATATAACCGATTGATATAGTTGTGTAAAATAAAGGAAAATTATTTTTCGAAAGAGTTTACAACGAAAATTATTATTAAAAAAAACAAGTTGAGTATTTTTACTTTCATAGACAGATTAAAATTCTCACCTATTTGTATCTCTGGCAACATCTTCATAAACACTTTGAACACCAATCTCTAACCGTGTACAACCATAACGTAACATTTCACTAAAATGAAATAAATTATCCAACGGATGAATACTGGTTTGTAACTTACCTTAAATGTTTTTTTAAACAATAATCAGGACGTGTTTCAATGGTGATTCCAACACATTTTGTTCTACTTCGTTCAGAATAACTAATAGATAAAAATATAGTGATCATTTATTAAATGAGATTAATCTAAAGTATGAATAATTGTTAAATGAAAGTTTTCTTACTAATACTAAAAAGTACCTGATGGCTTTAATTTAATTCTCTTCAACTGGTCAATTCAAGGAAAGATTGATTGCTTACTAGACTATAAGTTAGACACTGTTTGTGCGCTAGACAAAGTAGACAGGAAGGGTTTGGAACTCACGCAATCAACCAGCGGTTCAGACTGGAATGCTTTAACCACTAAGAGACTGTTTTACTAAGATTTCACAGTACTTCAAAAATCCGCGTCGATGATAATACAGTAAGCATATAATGCTTAGTTTTCTTTTAGATTATGTTATAGTTAAACAAATGTAATAAATTAGATGACCTAAATGGAGTTATTTATTTAGATAATGAAATGAACAAATAATTAGAATTTAAACAAAATATGATTGGAATGGGGTTCCCATAGGGCTTTGAAAAAGCATGTCATATAGTGAATAGGGAGCTGGAGGTATGAACTCGTAAGAAACCTCTCCCCTTATACAACTCAAGTTCAATGGAAATCTAGATACTGATATCCTACACGACAGACTGAACAGAGAGATTAAAATGGTTTTTTGTACACTTGATTTTTGTTTGTCATTTTACGATCTTCAAAGCACTGCTCACGTTTTGTAGAGCAACTAAGTGAGCAATGCTGAGATTAGGGACAGTGTACTAAGAGATTGCTTTGATTGTGAATTTTCATGCACTGAGTTGGTAGAAACAAGTGTTATGTATACCCACGCGTCAGCTTTCTTAATGGGTGACGTTGACTGGTGTAGGAGTAAGTTAGAAAAAGAACAAGGGTGGTCAAACCACAATGAACCATAAGTTTATGAAGTATTTATTTATTTTAACACATAGATATTGGTACAAGGAGGCACCAAATACATATGCGCTACATAGATCTCATTTGATATGTGTGAGGGCTGTGATACTGCCTGAGTACCCAAACCGAATCATGTGTTTTTCTTAGGGCCCCACACCCGAAGTCTTCGACTTGAAGGTCTGATCCACAAGACAGTGGAGCAACGTAAGTAGATGCAGCCCCATAGTAGCCGGTGATCAACTATTGGTTCATACGCCATTTGTTCCTTCGGGATACTGGAGCTCATGTGTACCATCAGTTTGGAATCAGGGTTTTTCAACTCCCCTAAGTGGAATCTCCATGTCCACCAACCCGGTTAAAGCGCCGGGCATTCGCTTTTCGTCCTCTCACTTCGTAAACAACACCCCCGCCACAAGAAAGCAGTGAGTAGGACTTCCCTGGTAGAGGCTATATACGCGTGCCATGTGAGAGCATTTCGAGAGGTAGAGCGGACTCTCCCCACCAGGGCATTTGGGGGCGTTTATAAAGTCAGTGGTTGCAGGTTTAAGTCACATTAGTAGATGCAAACGATCTGGATGAGGTCTTCATATTTGTCGTAACCAATGGTTGGGAACATTAGTTGGCATGGTTTATAACCAATTACATCCCTGTAGATGCATTTACCAATTATCATCCTCTAGATATTAAGTCCCAGCGTTTCTTTATATACAAATTTTTATTGTCTTGTCAAATTGTATTCTTAATGTTTAATCTTTCTTATTATGATTGTTCTCACATTGCTTCGACTATGTTTCTATTTTTCTTATTAATTTCCTTTTAATCGTATTAATGTGGTTTAAGAACTTGGACTAATGGAAATTCGCGCCTGGCTGAGTGGATGTCCAGATAAAAGAATAGATTACCCGGTTTCTACACTTAGATTGTTAATTACTAATTTAGCTACTCATTCTCGTTTCTCGACGAGGGTTGCTATCTTGTCCGAAGATATAGTAATTTGATTCAAAAACTATATCCTTCGTATTCAAAAGAAGTTTGAAATATGCCGTTTCGCTTTTTCGATCAGGGAACCGTAACAGATGATCGTATTGATTTTTTCCTCCTTTTGTTTGTAATATAACGGGAGAATAAAAATTCTTTCTGTTTGTCACGTTTTACTACCATTATAGGATCGGTGACGGATATTTATGGTGCCACCTGCGTAACTATTCTTCCTCAATTGTATGTTTAAGATCATTAATTGCACAGTATTACGTGCTTTCAGTGATCAAGTTCATTTAACTCAGATTTCAAACTACTTATGTTGAAATCTTGGTTCGCATTATCACTCCGTTCTTATGATTATTAGCATAAGTTACACAATCGTGACTTTCAATACTTAATGACATTAATGCAAAGTATGTGAAAAACTATGGAGTTATGTATTTGGACTCAAACCACGCTTTTAGTAGGAAGACTAGTAACCAACTCAGTTCCCTTAACCGAAGAAAGTAGAATGGAGTTCAGACAAAATGGTGGTGTGTTCAAGAATATCAATACCTGATCAACAGAAACAAGTAGTTATGAAAAATAAACAATATATTTGTAATATCTCAAAGACTAAGTGTAAGCAACTTCTTCAGAGAAAAAATAATCATGTCAAAATCAATCCAAGTTTAAAGAGTACAACGGAACAACAAGAATATTATGTTATGGTTATCTATTCTCTGAAGAAGTAGCTTACACTAGGTCACGAAACGTCAGAAAATCTAATTTTCCTACTCCTCGGGATATTACAAATATATTGTTTATTTATAACAATCTACCCAATGCTCAATTTATTCGGAATTATCAAGTCAAACATTGGTAATGATACCTACAAATAGTTATAATGTTGTGTAGTTTCATAACAAGAAATTTAAAAACAAAGTTCACGTAATGTATGTATATGAGGAAATCGATCACATCTAATACTGAGGTTAATACTATCATTAAGTATCCAAACCTTGATGGATAAAAATACATTTTGATTCGAGTTGTTATGAACAAAGATTAAATTCCTAAACCACGCTTAAACAAAATACTTAGTTCCCTCTCAGTAGTATATAATAGTATATATAGTCCTATATTCGTTATTTAAACTATCATCTAGGTACAACAATCATATGCTTCCAAAGAATTGCATTAGATTTTAGGAAGAATTTATGGCTTAAGTTGTTAAACAACTTTTTGGAATAATCCCCACAATATTACAAGTTATCGTACTCTCAATCAAATGATAATTGAAGTTGTTAAACATTGATCACTGGTAATAAATATATCTTTTGTTATATCCCAATAAGTAGGAAAACTATATTTAAAATTGTTAGTGTAATTCAGTTATTTATTTACTATGAAGAAGTGGCTTGCATTGTCACGAAACGTTGGGAATACGATTTTTCTACTCATTTGGATATAACAAGAAATACATTTATTATTAACTTTCTACCCAATGCTCAATTTATTTGAAACTATCAAGTCCAACCTTGGGATTCATACCTACATTGATCTAAACTTCTAGATTCAGAGGGAATCTCTAATCATGGAACAAAGAGGATTATTCACTTAAATCCATATAGTTGATAACGTAGATTTTATAAAAATAGTGTCAGGGTATGTGAGTTATACCTACATAACAGCCTCGTCAACGTTTTGGCTTGTATGTCCAGATAGTGCATCGTGTAAGCTTCTAATGAAATAATCCCGATAGTCTTCAGAAAGACACATAAACGTTCCCCCCATAACAATAAATTCGACCTTATCACATGTATGTCCGAGTTGTTGAAGCTAGAATTATAAATGAAATGTGTAAACGTGATCACGAAAATATACTTGTTCAATTCGATGCCGTGTTTGAATAAAGGGATTGTAACGAGCTCGAATAGCACGCATGGAAGTGGGCTAATAATAACATTGGTGAGTTATGTGGTCTAAGCTACGAAATTACCTCATATCCAGTATAAGATTGTGTAGAGTATTCAAAATCAGAATCTGGTCCACCTGGACAATAGCTGTAGATAAGAGGATAAAATGTAAAGAAATTTTAAGCACCTACACACAAACATTCCCGGTCACAGCTATATGAGGACATCGATGAGGTTTACACATAACTGCTATAACTACAATCTACAACAAAATGATTATAGGAATAGGCAATTTAATAAAAGATATATACACTTAATTACCCCACTAGCTGATCTAACTGGTTTCGCTTTCAGATGTGGCAACAGCACCTAGACAGTGTATTTGGCAAACATTCATCACCAACGAAAATTAACTTACATGTCTATGTTCTGTTGGTACAGCTGCGATTAAATCAACCAGACGTGGTTGTGAGGCTAAGCCATATTTACTAGATATTGCTGACTTCAATCTATTCAAATTAAGAACAAATTATTACTAACAAAACTTAAACAGTTACTTACTTATTTAAATCAACATCACGTTTCTCTTCAATAGATTTTAAAAGGTGTGAGATTATTTCACTCACGGTTAAAATCATGAGTTCCTCTTTGGTGGCATTTGGTACTTTGGGACAAACATTACAAAAGCTATAAAAATTACTTTTACGAGCTTTAGCCATATTGTTTACTGAGAACTCAGGGGACTACGGTTCAGCCTTTTGATTCTTCGTTAAACACTTATCATCTGGGTACAAAAAATAAAGTGGGACTCAGTATAAGGTAAACTTTACGTTGGAAGTAAATAACAATATAGTTAACTTTGAATAAGACAAATATGGTAAACACCACTAAGTTCATCAAGTCTATACTGAAGTAGTCACGACGAACATGGGAACTGAATCAAAACTTAGATGTTAACGATAAACAGAATCCGAGTATGTTAGTGTCAGGATGAATCAAGAATATGACTCCGTAAATTATTTATATTTTTAATTGAAGTGGTTAGTCAGTCAGTCAGTAACAACGTAGAACTTCGTACATACGTACATCAGTTAGTTCATTGATGTTGTAAATTATATACATAAACTAAATTAATAATTAGTTGCAACTACTGTTAGCTAAATGTACTCAGATTTGATTACTAACCAGTTGAGTAAATCATACGATCTATCCATAACATTGTAGTTTTTATATAATTTTCAGAATTAGTGGTGAATTTGCAGTTGATGCATAGTAAACTCTCCATTCGCACTTTTACCCCTCTACACCGAGGTGGGTCAGTTTTTGTTTACTTGAACAGGGCAAGTAACCCGTTGTGTACATAGGATATAACAAATAGCCACGCTACTTTCTTATCACAGGACAATAGAGAAAATGCAATAATTTGAAGCATGACAATCAAGGAAATCTAAAAACTCATAGTGCAGTGGAAACTGATGGAAATAAATGTCATATAAGACTATTAGTCCAAAAGTCGATCTTGAGGTTTGACCTCAATCAGGAATTCAGAGTGAAGATCGATCACTGACAGAACAGCATCGTTTAATTAATATCAAATCAGCCGAACAAAACAGTGGTTCAAAAGCTTCTGCTTATCTCTGGAATACGATGACAATTAAGGATATCAAATAAGTCAATTTCATCTTGTTAAAAGTCTACACTGATTTCAATTTGTACAAAGTAGTCCATTCGTTTGTAAAAGTGTTACGTGAGTAGTTGCTGGTTTTTAATACCCATCACAATCATCTAAATTTACTCAATGACTCTGATGGCAACTATTTTAGATGAATGTGGACAACCAAACTGCCTGTTCCCCGTTGAGGAAGGAATGCAGTGCGGCATTGAATTAATTGCAGTATATCACAGTCCAGAATGTGTAGCAGATGATTTTCTCCTAAGTAAACTTAAGTCCTGGTGTAAAAAGGGTAAAAGCCTTGTAGTAGGCAACTTTAATGCACCGTATATAAACTGGGTTAACTTAGAAGTAGGGTCATCGATAACGTCGTTCGATTGCAAACTGTTAGAAACCTCGATTGGGTTAGGTTTATTCCAACATATTATAAACCCCACAAGATATGACTTAAGAAATTCTACTTCTCTTTTAGATTAAGTCTTCGCATACGGTGATGGCGTTGGTCAAACGACTGTCCTCCCACCACTTGGGAGAAGTGACCATGCAGTCATCTTATTCAAATTCATGGCTGAGATTGCCTGTCAAACAGTTGCGCCGGCCCGTCCTAATATATGGACGGCAGATATGGAGGCAATCAACTACGCAGCGTCGGCTGAAAACTGAGAAATTGACTTAAGGGCATCAGTACAAGAGACATGGACTCTTTTCAGGCGGTTATACAATCGGGTAACTTAACTATACATACCCTGGACAGTTCCAAAGAACCGGGATATTCGACGTTTACCAAGACAAAAGAAGAAATGTTGGGACGTTGCCATCCGCCTTGGTACAGCAGGTACGATGGAACGCGACAGGTCGATAATAAACAAGTGCATAACAAAAATTCGAGGAGCTCAGAGAAAATATGAAATGCAGTTGGCACATTCTGCACTCAAGCAGCCCAAGAGAGTATTATCGTACATAAACTACAGCACAAGGATGCATTATTGGATTCCCAACCTAATTAAAGAAGGGAGTGAATCTGAAATTATAGAGGAAGATCAGGAAAAAGCAGAGGCTATGGCTGACTATTTTGGGACAGTTTTCACTCAGGAACCTCCTCTAGACAAAGAACCAGACCAAAATAAAGAGTCAACAAACCACCTGCCCACCGTGGACTTCGATCAAGACAATGTGTTTAAGGCTCTTAGCACCTTAAACATGGAAAAGTCAACAGGATCAGATGAACTACACCCCAAAATCTTGAGACATATTGCCCAATATATCGCGGCCACACTGACTGTGATATTCAATATGTCACTTGGCCAAGGTGTGTTACCTATAGACTAGAAGGACGCAATCGTCACTCTCATACATAAAACAGGACCAAGACTAGTTCCATCGAACCAAAGACCTGTAAGCCTCACCAGTGTTGTAGTTAAAATATTGGAAAGAATAGTCAAACGGACAATAATGGCATTTATGGAAACCAATAACTTGCTAAACATAGAACAGCATGGTTTTAGAAAAGGTGTCTTGTACAACGAACCTCCTTATAGCAAAGGGGTTTCGGATAAAGGCGCTAGACAACGGAAACTCAGTGGATGTTGTCTACATAGACTTCAGTAAGGCTTTTGACAAGGTGCCAACTAATAGACTGCTACTGAAGTTGGAAAACCTTGGTATTGTCGGACCTCTTTTAAAATGGATTAAGGATTTCCTAGTAGGTCGTAGACAGAAAGTAAGAATAAATTCCAAGTGCTCCATTTGGAGACCAGTACTTAGTGGAGTACCTCAAGGTTCCGTCCCAGGTCTTTTACTTTTTATAATACATGTTAATGATCTTCCAAGTATAGTACAGTCTCAAATGTTATTATACGCTGATGATGTAAAGATTTGGCGAGTAATAACTGGAAATAGACGCATGTGCTCTTCAGGTAGACCTAAATAATATGATGAACTGGTCTAAAGAGTGGCTGATGCCTATCGACGAGGCAAAGTGTGTCTACATGTACTTTAGGAATTCAAAGGTTAATAGGTACAACATAGGGGAAGTGCCGTTACCTGTGGTCCGGTCACATGAGGATCTAGGGGTAACAGTGAGTCATGATCCTAAGACGACGGCCCATTGATGGGACGTCGCAGCTAAGGGGTTTCGAACCCTTTGGGCTTTAAAACAGACATTCACTAAGTTAGATACTACCATGTTCACCACAATATACACATCCTTAATGAGAACTAAGCTTGAGAACTGCGTTCAGGCTGCAAGTTCTTGTTTAAAAGGTGACTCGGATATCCTAGAAAAAGTACAGAGGGCAGCTACCCGTGCAATTTCAGAACTCTGGGGTTTAACATACAAAGAGCGGCTTGAAAAGCTGGACCTCTTTACTCTGTCCTATCGCAAATTAAGGGGAGATCTAATTTTGATGTACAGAATACTGAGAAATGATTTTGGACCCAACTTATTCTCTCCTTCTCTTCCCACTAGATCAGAACATCTCAGAGGACATAGCAGGCGAGTAGAAAAGCCAAGAACGAACACAATACCCGTGGCATACAGGTTTTCATATCGAGTCATCAATACTTGGAACCTGCTGCCCGAAGCAGTGGTGTCCGCACCTTCAATTGACTCCCTCATGAGAAGACTGGACATTCACAGAAGCATACTAGAAAAGGAATAACATAGGCCGCAGGCCTTCTGTCCTTACTGCACAAATTTGAATCTGAATGATGCATCCAAACACGTGCAGTGCTTTAATAAATCGAGCTTAGTTCAAATCCGACAACTTTCGATATACTATGCGATCACTCGCCGATCCCAAATTTTGTCTACAGAGTTTATCAGGTATGGAGAAAGGGTGACCATTAGTTCCCCAATATACGACGGGAGAACGTAAACATTTACCCACATTAAAGCCTTATAACTTATAAATTGGCGGAAGATGAGATAAATGTGCATACCAGGAAAGTTTCCAGACGTTTTACCACAGTATTTTAGTCTGTTCGACGAGAATGATATTTGCAAAGTACACTGAGAGTAGTTGTCGTTTTAAAAATAACTCCTAGATCTCGACTGTCACTGTATTACATTGCGCCCTATTTCGGGATTCGGAACATTTAACTTAAACAACTACTGCTGAAACTCAAAGAAATAACCTACATCAATGTTGGATATTAGTACTTAAGTACGAGTAAATTCAGCGAAATTTTAAAATACACGAACTGAAAGTTATAGACATAGTCGGAGGCTAACGTTGAGTAAGCCTATTTGTTTTTAACTACACTTAAATCTTAGGTGGAAAAAAGCCTAATAAAACGCATTGCAATACCATCCACGACAAAATGTAGCGTACGTTTTAAAAAATTGTCTAATGCCAATCAACAATTTAAAATGGTCTAGATGATATTTAAAAATGAGTCAACTCGAGTACCTTACACACCTAAGATAGGTGAATTATGCATTGTTTAAGCTGGAATTAAAGTTGAATATAAACGACAGTCAAGAAGCAAACGCTTTCGTCAATTATATTATGATAATATGTCATCATTTAATAGTTGAATTCATGAGTCCATTAAAGCTAGATGACAATGGAAAACGTGGAAGTATTGGATCGCCGTTTCGTCCTACTATGGGACTCTACAGCACTGTAATTCCAGACTATCTTCTAGGCTGTCGAGCACAGAGTCTTAGCTTGGCCAAAGTCAAAAGAAGGAGGGAAATGGAAAAGTGGTAATTATGATTATATAGATACTTACTTGTGCCTGTTATCCCCCATGAGGGAGCATAGGCTGCCAAAAAGCATTCCTTACCCAACTCTGTCTTGATCAATCCTTTTCCGTTCTATTCAGTTGCTATTCATTTTTTTCATGTCTACTTCCGGTTACCAACGTAGTTTGTTCTTCGGTATTCCTCTTTTCCGTTGTCGTTCAGGATGCATGGTATTCGAAATTATCCTAAATTAACCAATTGAATCAAATTAATGCATTTGGCAGTTACATACCTAGTTACACATAATAATAATAATAATTTTATTCTCAAATAACAGCTTGTCACATGAGGCATGCCAGTTTACAGGCAAGATCAAATTGATACAAATGATACAATATCCACTGTAGTAAATTACATAGCTGGGTTGATAATTTATAAGATATGAATGTTGATGGTTTTAATCAGTACTACAGTTGGCGCGCTTCACGAAAGTTGCGTTGCAAATGTGCAACTGATAGTCAAGGATAGGTTCATTGTAGGTGGGAGCTTCTAAATGTCGCAACCTTATGTCCCTTTGGAATGTCTAAGGCTTTGAGGATGGTGCAGGATGAAATTTTTCGTTCCATATCACAAGGGGGCTGAAAGAGGGAGCAAGTAAAAGAAAGGACGAGAGGCAGAATAGCCAATATTCATGAAGAATTGTTTAAGGTATGATTACTCAGTCTAATTTTCTTTTATTAAGGTATTTGTTAAGAAAGAGCATTTTAATAGGTTAAAGAAAACAAGTGTTAACAAGGTGTGAGTGGACATACAACTGACAAATGGAAGCGATTCGGAAAGGAGCTGAGAGTATAGGAATATGTGTGATTATAAAAAAAATGCTAGAAACAGTATTGTGATATACAATTGGCTGTCTTCCTTTTTTTATCGAAGCTATTAGAGCCCCTTTCTTTTTTGTATTATTATTTTTTCAGGTATTATAGGGTTGTATTCGAATTGGGATTACAAATTGTAGCGTGGCGTCGAGTTGAGATTAACTATGAACACCGCTACCAAGAAACACGTGCCAATTAGATCAGAAGGCGTAAGAAGCTCGTTAAAATGACTCCATAAAATCCCCGAGAAGCCGAATACCAGAAGGCAATTAATGGACCAAGTCGAGTTATATTTGGCTGGCGATCTCGTGGCATCGAAAGGATACCGAGATCGTGCCAGGATACAACCTTGGTTACAGAACGTAACCGAATTCGCGCGAAGTTACAATTGAAGTGTAAGTATAAGAATGGAAGCACAAAAAAGCTGTCATTAGCACAGTCAAACAAAAGCACGTTAAAACAAACACTGGTACAGTTGGTTATAATAATAATTGTTTTTATTAAACCAGTCGTGTTCTCGTGATAAATGTGAGTCACTACAGGGTCTTGAATAGGCTTCGTATATTCGCGAATTATATTCCGAGATGACTATACGATTGTATTCCTTCAGCATATCCGGATTAAATAACGTTTTATCACATATGGTCTTCCATTGGATATATAACGATTTTAATAATAACGGAAGCATTGTTGCAAATCATTAGCAGTTCGGGTCCGTTGTGTTTCTTTTGAAAATCCAGTGAATTACTGTCTCGTATTTCTTGGGGTGTTGCTCGAATTGGGCAAGGTTTTGGAGCAAGTGGCTCACTGGTTGACCGATAATATTTGTCCATTTCTTTGACATGATAGATTATTTGTCGTTTCAGATAGGGGACGCATAAGTAAGTCCTAACCATTGTCTATGTTAGAAAATAGGCTCTGATATGTTGATTCAGCAAATTACTAGACTGAGTATTGAAAAATATGTTTGTGTCGAGGTGAGTACAAATTGTTTCTTGATATGCAGCTTGATTCGCGCCATTTTGCGGCGGCTATGTATAAAAGGGTGTTCTTGCTAATTGTCATGTGAACCCGATGCGTAGATTAAGTTGATCGCGCTTAACACACTCAAACGTTATGACACAGTACATTTGACAAATTACATATATTAATTCACCGACAACACCGATCGACACCAAATAATAACATGTCCAAATCATACTATTTTTACCAAAAAATGTTTTGCAACAACAAGTTGGTCAGTGAGTTTACTACACTAATTTGTCCGACCCTTTGGCTGTTTTCCTATTCTGCGTACGTTGATATACTAGACACAACTAACAGCTTATATCCAAACATGTACCGAGACCATCATTTATTCTCCAAATGAAGGCAACTCGTTACAACCAAACAAACTGTAGCTGGTCCAATACGTTATACTATTTGAAGCATACTTTTAGTTCTTTAGATGCTTTTATGTCATGGGACACTAAGTTTCTGTTAAACAGTTAACGAAACGTTAGAATAACCATCTCAAATGGTTTAGAGTATCAATAGTCGATAAAGCTTAATAGGCAAACAGGGTTTTCGTTCCAGTGTGAAATACCGGGATTTTAGCCTGAGACTGTTCACATTAAGAGTGAAACTTAGTCCTGTTATTGTGATCACATGAAGTTACCATCTGTGATATAAGTTGCCATGAGTTTGTTCTTTCAAGTTTCATGTAAAGATTATTTGTGGACATCTATGTCATTAGCAGTACTATCACAGTCAATATTAATAGCAGAAGACAATCTAATTAGCATTTCACAAACTGACAATAATACAAATAGACAAATAATTACACTAAATACGAACTACGTTACAATAATAACAAGTTATATCCACTATCAAACGGTAAAAATAATAATATGTATTACGAACGAGAAAAATACCCCAAGAATCCCATCAAAGCGTTTTATTGAACAGTATTACTATTTCTTTGTACCTTTTCCTTGTACTGTGTTAACTTTTACTCGGGTTTCTATTAACCTCTTTTTGTACTTTTCAGCCTCATTTATCTGAACTTTTATTACTTGAGCTTGGTCAGTTTTACTTTTATCTCTTAATTCTATTGTTGTATGTTCGCGGACCGTTGGCGACGTGGTCTTGTTTGACTAAACTCAAGACTGCGGCGTGGTTCGGTTGGTGGTTTCGGACCCTCGACCATGTGCTGAGGACGAATACTCTGTTCACTGCAGATAGCCATATTGTTTGAGGTATTTTGCACTTTGATATAATTTTTTGCTTTACAAATAAGAACCACCTAAATTAAAAAGGGAGTTTGTGTTTTGGTATAATTTAATACAAATAACTCAAAAGCGCTTCGTAAGCCATATAGAAAAACACAGTCCGGCTTAATCGAATAAACTTTGGTTCGCTAGAACTGCTTCCAGACCAAACGCCGGAATTTCGGTTGTTACAACAATTAATAATAATGGTTCTATTGTATATTCGCCCGAGCGCTCAGTTTCAAACATAGAATAATGAAAATGCGGTAATGATATTTGACACAATTAGATGTCTCTCTATTGAGGTATTGGCGATGAAAAATAGGACCCTAGTACGACGGAAGAAAGTAAGAGTGCCATTATTTCATCCTCTCTGATGGTTCATAACTCAATAAGACAAAAGACAACTTCTGAGATAAGTGGTCGCGTACTGTAGCGTCTAATATCTCAGAAAACGGGATTGAAGGAACTCCTTACTGTTTGTAATCTTGTCAGTCCCATAGAATTCCTGCCATTCGAACACACTCTGGCAACTAATGTAAAAATATAATAACGCGTTATGTGAGTCGCTTCCTTTCTTCCTCCTTTAGCTTTGAATATTCATAAGTACGTACGCATCTGCTCGGGTTAAACAACTGGAGTAATGACCTCGATCGTTCAGTTGCAATGGAGCACGTTTATCAGCCGTCATGTACCACTGACCACCAAAAGACCCCATGTAAAGAAATATGAAGTGTTGAACAGCTTATCTTGTTTGGTTATGTCGAAATTTCGTTTTCAGTAGCCCATGTCACCATATTATGACCCCGTTCCTTGCCGTATCGTGTGGGACCTGAAGTTTGTAATTGGGATCCAGAGTCAACGAGAATATTCACCAAAAGTATTGCGACATTTATTACCATTGTTGTTTAGAGAATTGTAATTGACATCTTCGAAGTATTGTTATATCAGCAGACGAACATCCAGTAATAGTTGAATGAGCGGATTTTCTTACCATTTTTTGTTCGCTAGTCCTGGTTCGGCAGTTGTGGTTAGTTAATTACACTCTGTCTCACTTCCTGTAAGAAGACAAAGTTCTGGCTGTGACATAGGTCTTATCAAAAGGCTGATTGGGGAGGCTCGAGCTGTGGCTTCTGAGACAAATCAGTGTGGAGTGATATGTAACCATTGAGGTTATTTTAGATGTGAGCTATCGCACAGTTGAGACCAACGCAAAGTGATTTGGTAAATGAATATCCTAAAATTCGTTATAAATCTAGATATTTACCCAAACAAATGTTATCACCCAGATATCCAACCAATAACTGTTCAGTCAGTAGTCAAACATGAATTACATTAAAATGACAGATTTGTAAAAGATACAAGATGAATACCGTGAACAATAAATAGATGTTCCCATTAATACAGAAATGTTATTCTAGATCTTGTCTGAATGAAAAACATCTAGAACCGCTTCATAACCTTCCGGCGGCTTCTCATCATGAAGCCGGAATAGGTTTTATACATTCAAAAGGC